TCATTGGCGGCCGGGAGTAGGCAACCTCGTCCTTAATGTGTACTAATTGTAGCCAATGGCGTAGCTAGAGTTGGTGTCAACCCTTGTTGTAAATTCATGGTGTCACCCCCCCCCCCAATCCCCCCTCCCCGACTGCCACGGTGGATGTTGTTGGTTTAGATAAGTCCAGAGTAAAACAATGGCAGCGACCAAAACGAACTAATTGATAGTGAGGGGGTCAATGTATGTAAGAACTGTAAAATGTACTTAGAAAAGCCCGACCACATCTTTGTAGGTATCAATGGAAAGCGGTATTTCTCAGTATTTAGATAACTATAGCTTCCTGTCACTTTGTTTTTCTGACTTAATTCTAGCGTCCTCACATTTCTGACGCATTAACCTTGAACTTTTAATAGACTTGACCAGCATTTACGAGAGGAAAGGAATGAAGGGCAGTTTGATGTGTTCCATGTGTGGAAAAAAGAGGTGTGATCGGTTTTCCTTTTATTGAAATTTGGTTAGACCGAGCAGTTTGTGCTGCGTAAAAAAAAAAAAAAATTCAATATGGTATCACCCCCTGAGATGGTGTCGCACGGTGCGGTCCGCATCCACCTGCCCCCCCTAGCTACGCCACTGTAATTGTAGCTATAAAACAACATCAGTAATATAGTTGTAGCTATATATTTAAAGGTTATTTATCTCCCGACGCCCCCCCCCCTTTCCGTTTCAGTCATGCTGAGTTCCATGTCAGCAATGCCAAGGAAGTCATCAAACAAAGGAGGATAAATGGAACTCTGGACCCAGTCGAGCCAAACCTGCTTCTCTCCCTGGCATCAGAGGACGCTTTAACCAGCGATGACGTCAGCAACACTTTGGAAGTTATTTACTGTTCGGGGACCGATTCGGTGAGGGGACAAATAGTTGGATAAATAGCTATATAGCTGGACAAATAGTTAGACAAATAGTCGGACCAATAGCTAGACAAATAATTGGAGAAATAGTTGGACAAATAGTTGGATATATAGTTGGAAAAATAGCTATATAGTGAGGACAAAATGACAAATAATGGGATAAATAGTTAGATAAATAGATGGGCAAATAGCTGGACAAATAGCTGGACAAATAGCTGGACAAATAGCTGGACAAATAGCTGGACAAATAGCTGGACAAATAGCTGGACAAATAG